GAGAACCAACATTTTTCTAACTTTGTGACATCTGTTTTGAATAGTCAGAGAAAAATCCAATGCTCCATATGATTTTCTGCTGAATTAATCTTAAACTGTGCCAAGGAAAAAGTACTGAGTACGAGTTGGTTAGCACATAAGAATTTGTCTAGTAGTTCCTCCTATTTCTCTATTAGGGAATCTGTGTTTAATTCAAATTTGCTGGCCAACAGTGCATATAGTGGTGCCTTAGGTGTTGGCAATCTGGATAATATTTGGAGAAATGAAAGCAAATCAGATGAGCTGAATTAGCTGAGGATAGTGGTCAAACAGATGCGAGATGACACATTTAAGCTGGATATAGTGCCACAGCTACTGGTCTCAAGACTGAACTTTAATTTTAACATTATAAAAGGGGGAGGAAGATATCATTTTCATTAAATTGACTGATGGTCAAAGTCTCTTCCCTAATCCAATCTGACCAAATTATGGCCTTGCCTGCTCTACGAAGTCTTGAGGGTAACACTATATATTTCTAGAATATATATTACTTACAAAAACTACATTAAAAGAGCATGATTAAGATTGCAAAGTCAAGCGATCAAAAATATACAAGCAACATTAATCTTGCATTTTCTAATTCAGCCACCTTGTGAACACATACTTCCCTCCTTCCCTGCACGTGGGCCCTGACTCATTCAGTGCACAGGCTGACATGCTCTAGGGATGAATCAGGGTTGCGTAGTGAAGAAAGCTGTTGTCTGTAGGCTACATTTTTAGCAGGTGTGCAGTGAATTAAAATATTATAAGAAGAGAAAAAATGGCTTCATGATTAAGATAGCTGAATGCTGCTCTGGAGAACTGAATTCGATCCCTCCCTCTGCCATACATCTCTGTGTGATGCTGGGCAAGTCACTGAAACCAAACTTTTCATAGTTGGTCTTTAAATGGATTCCTCATTTTCTGCATGCTTGACTGAAATCCTAGGATCTGATTTGTAGAAGTGCTGAACACTCTGAGTTGCAACTGAAATCAACGAGAGATTTGTTTGAATATAAAATGCCATATAATGCTAACGACCCTGAGAAATCCAGTCCTAGTCATCTGAAATGGGACATCCAAAATTGGTGGATGCTTTTGGCCTTAATTCTTCTACGCCTCAGCTCTTCATCTGTAAAAAGTGGGTAACATCTGCCTTCTAATCTTCCAGAGATATTGTGAAGATGGATTAATATTTGCGAAGTGCTCAGACACTGTTGTGATGAACTCAATAGACAAGCCCATTTGGAAACTAATAATTCTGTGTTCAGAGCAGGTACAGATAGTGTACAGCAAATAAGGCTGAGGACAACACAGTAAATAATGAGGAGAAAACCAAATACCGAATACCTGCTCATTAAGTGAACACCGTCAATCCGGTATACTGAATGAAAGAAAGGGTCCTATGGGACAAAAATACTATACAGTCTTTAATTACATGATCATATACTAATGTGTTATGTAGAAGGGAGCTAAATTTAGGCATTTCCTAACTTTTGAGTGCTTGATTTTACAATGTTATTAATATTTGTTTAGTGTTTTTGTGTGTGTTTCCCTAGGCTTTTAAGAAAGCAAACTGGAAAAAACACCACATTTTGTTATCTGGCATAGTATTAATATACTCATGGGTCACCAGGAGGTTTCAATCTCCCACACAAGTCTCTGCTACTGAACTAACAGAGTAACTAATAGAAATAACAGATCACCACCCTTTACATGGACCAGCCCTAGAAGAGAATGGAACACTTCGCCAGTGGGTTTCCCAGATATTTGCTTATAGTGAAAGAAGGACGAGACTCAGGAATTGTGGGTTCCATTCAATCTAAGAAGGTGCATTTGCTCTAGTGGGTATAGATTCTGCTGCCTGTTTGCCTATACTTGATCACTTGTGCTCTATCCTTTCCAACCTGCCCTTGTTGCAGTCCTGGCTCTTCCTCCCAGTTATATTCTCTTTTGCCTTTTCAGTCCTAATTTCTCTTCAGTGTTCTCATCCATGTCTCAATCTCTTGCCTGTCCAGCCCTAATCTCCTCATTCAGGCTCTGTGTCAGTCTCAATTTTTCTTTTGAGTGCTGCACTCTTTCTCAATCGACACAGTATCCCAGTCATCTTGGGCAGCCAGTGCCCGTTACCTCCTTCTCACTCCTCATCCAGTCTCTCTGATTAGCAGTCTTAGTCTTCATCCCCTCGCCCCTCACATCTCGCATAATTGGAGCAAACAATCTTCTTTAATTTCATATTTAAATGGCAAAGCTGTCTGCCTCAAATGTTTTAGACAAAATACATAGAAGGAATTTTACTAATGCCGTGCAATACTCTGTGTGCTGCCTCACTCCAGTCCAAGGTGATGAGAACTTAGTTTTGGATTTTATTTTCTATCTTCATTTTCATAGGCTCTCGCAAAGAAAGCAAGAGATGGAAAACTGTTACCTGAAGAATACCAAGGCGGCTCTTTTAGGTAAAATTTTTACCAATCTTTTAATACATTTAGTATGAGCTTAGAGCTATGGCTGATTCTCAGATAATCAGTTTTGCTGAAACAAGCAATCCTATAAAATCAGCCAGCCTACCCGTGAAAGCTCATTAGGTGACTTGAAAAGTGATGCAACAGTTTGCTCCTGCAAATTGGAAAGGATATTTTAGTCCCCAGATTCCTATGTCAAGAGAACTTTTACTTTTTTGGAACAATTTTTGGGCTGGCTCACCTTGACATAGCCACTTTTGATGCAAGAAAAAATATAAGAGAGAAACTTTTTTTTTGGCTTTGTTTTGCATGCATGTAAATCTTCAGGAGATTGTTTCTTTATTACATTAAGTAGATAGAAAAATAAGTAGTAAAATATTTACTTTATGATATTTACTTTAAGCTTTATAAAAAGTCTATCTCTCTATGCAAAGACACAATTATAACAGTATAAACCATGGTGCTCTTGATTCATTTAACTCATACATGTAGAAAAAGGTCTCCTATCAAGTAAAAACTGCTCTGTATTTGGGAAGTAACCTTCCTTTTGTCCTTTCAGATATTTGAGTTATAAACTTCAAAACTTAAATGGGACAATTTACTTCTATTTAGCATATTTTTTTCTTTTTTATAAAGTACAAGAAGAAATGGTCTGTGCTAAATAAAATGTTAATATTTAAATGCAATATTACATTTCTACAAAAAGGCAATGCAGAACTCGTTTCTAAGAAATTTTATATTGGATTCATTGAACATAGGCTGATGCAGTTTTTTTTTTTTGCATGGTTTGATGTGCATCTTAATACATTACATTTATGAGATACAGAACACTATTATAAATAGAGTGTGGTTAATGTTGCTGAGGAAACCTGAACTCCATGACTTTGTGATTATTTTTACTGTGCAGAGTTATGGTATTAACACAAATTTTGAATTTATAATGGATAATTGGTGACTATAAAAATGTCCTGGGACACACTAATAATAGAGATATTTTACAGAAAGAGATCTATTAATATTGATAGTGTAATTGGCCTATGCTAGCCTAGAGCACGGGACTGTTTATTTCACATGGTGTTTTAAGGCTAAAGCAGTTGTCAAAAGAAAATATCTCCTAGATAATCATAAACATTTCAGCAGAAAGAGCAAATGGGAATCTAGCAGTGCAGAGAATGGAAATGTCTTCAGTGGGGTGGGGAGAAATATGATTCATTCATAGGAAGATGGCAGGCAGAGATTTTACTACTGTTATTCTAAGGTGAGGGTCACTTTAAATTGAAATCAGGCTCCCATTGTTAGAGGCTGCAGTTGTGATATACTGAATGGGCCTTTTTACAACTTGTACTATGCCTCCTGTTTGGCCCATACCTCCCATTTTTTGACCTCAAGGAAAATGCTACAAATTCGCTTAGTAGTGGGTTTTCCACAGCTGGGTGTATCTTGGTCACAAATTGTCTTCAGTGATATCTTCATGTAACAAGTAAAATATATATGTAAACTTTTCCCCCTTCCTTCAGCATTTCCAATCTGGGCATGTTTGGCATCAGTGGCTTCATTGCCGTAATAAACCCTCCTCAAGCCTGCATCCTTGCTGTGGGACGAGCTCGACCTGAACTCAAGATTGTAGAAGATGAAGAAGGGAATGAGAAACTTCAGCAACATCAACTTATGACAGTGACACTCTCAAGCGACAGTCGTATGGTAGATGACAAACTGGCTTCAATGTTTCTGGAGACCTTGAAAGCAAACTTAGAGAATCCGATACGACTTGCCTTATGTTAAACTGATCAGAGATTGGCTCCTGCTTTGGCAAAATATGGAACAAAGTTACAAACTGTTCCCCTGTCCTCCTCGCTATCACAGAGAAAGAATACAAAGCATGAGGGGGACAATTAAAATATTTAATTTATTTGAATTAATTTGAAAGACTTTTCAGATCTGTCTTTGTGACCATTTCCAGCTCTCAAGTTTTATACTGTACTATAAAACTGAAATACTTTAAAGAAACATTAAAATAGAGTTAATGCATTAAAGCTATTTTGCTGCTTAATAGCAACTGCATCAAATTTGAATGTACAAGTTACTGTTTAGTTGTAGAAGAATGGTTAGAAAACCTTGGGAAATTTGAGGGAGAAATATGAAACGAAAAAGGGAATGAATCAATGGTTTTTTTTTTTTTAAAAAGGACTAAATTATCTTTGACAATGAGAAACACAAAAGACATGGCTGAGCAAGATGGCCCTATCAATCCCAATCATCATTAAGAGAATCAAACCTGTTCCAGAACTATATTTTAGCTATTTTTACTATGTGAAGAGCTAAAATCTGCTGTCAGAGCTGCATGATGCAAACTGTGAGAGCTCTGAGATTTTGATACAGACTTTTCTAGAGGTTTTACTTGGTGCTAGATAAGTTATTTTGGTTTGGTTTATGTCAAAAATTCAACTGTTGTTGATCTTCTACTTTACTATGAGCTTTTCCAGATGAAAATAACAGAGGGCAGAACAATTCTAGTGCACAAAAAACAAATAACATGATGGATATAAATGGAAAAACTCAAATAAAATAAAGTATTAAATTGCCTATTAGCATCTAAAGCTGAATTTGAAAATGCACTTAGCATTAGATTAATTAAAACTCATTTAAAGTGTGTGGGGTTTTCTCTTCGGCATCTCTGCTTAATGTAGCATTCCAGGAAAAAAATTTAATAAATGTGTCATCAGAAGTTTTGTCACTGTAATCAGGATTTCACTCCAAATATTTTTATCATTACAAACTTTGAATCAACAATAAATTGTGAAAGTGATACTTATTGTAATAATTTATTGGGTTGAAAAGTAGTCAGGAATTGCATTAAATAATTGAAACATTGCCCTGTATCAAAATTTAATTAGTGTGCCCTTGTTTGACTATTGCAAATTGTAACAGTGCTTTTGCAATTTTCATGTCATGTTAATCTGATGAATAACTGAAAATTGAAGTATCAATGTTTTGCAGGCTGAATATCTGGATGACAAATGAGCTTTGACCTTTCTATGACGTAGTGGTACCAACTTCTTCTTTACTCAGTGGTAAAGTAGTACCAAAATTATACCAATTTACCTCAGTGGTAAAGAATTTGGATACGTGAGAGGTCAGATTTTTGTGAACATTTGCTCAATAAATCCCTTATTTGAATGGAAGGAAGGAATGTGCATTTACAAACTGCATATCTGAAGTGGATGGATACTGAATTGTAATTCAGTTTGATGCTGAAGTACAGTAGTTTAATATTTGGATTAGCACAACGAAATGCTAAGTGTGATGGTTTACGATATATATCCCATGGAAAGAATGGGTTGCAGAGATTTCCAGTGACATAATTTCTAATGAGGGCATCTGATGACAACTAAGCACTAACTTACCATTCAAGTCCTGGAATCCATGTCGCCATTAGAGCCACTGTATTTTGTTTGTATGTAATTTCCTGCACCAGCTTATTCTTTAAGAGCCAAACTACTGACGAATTTATTTACTCACCATTCTGTTGCAATACTTTAAAATAATAAGTGTGTGTCTAAAACTTGCATCAGTGTTCAGATTAGAGTTTTCACAAAAGTAGTTTGTGTCTTTAATTGATGCATGAATGATATGACATGGGAAATTCAAAGGCTGTCAATCTGATGCTGTATTTTTGATTACTTACATATGGTCTACTATTGATCTACTGTGCTATTATCCATATACCCCTTTTGCATTGGCAGGATTTTATCAACCACTGAAATTTTCAAACTTGGGTGCTTTTTAGGTTCTTAATTTTTAGACATCTAGACATATGTTATCTAATTACTTTTCCAGAGGTGTTAAGCAGGCCCCTACTGAAGTCAAAACATTACTTATATAGTGCCTTTGATAATAATGAAGTTGAATAGGTTCTAATGTGTTAGGATAGTAACATCTAGTTAACCTAGTAAAATTCCCCTTATGATTTACATGAAGTACCATTCTTCATTTCCTGCCCTATGGGGGTTGATGTGTACTGGTCAACAGTTGTATGTCCCAACCCACAGGAGGCCACAGTTCAGTGGTGGGCAAAGTGATTCATACTTATGATTTATACAATGGGTATAGTTTGCAAATGGCTTTTGGAGCCACTGGAAGGTGCTGATGTATATAAACATACCGTTATGGTAATGTTGAATGCACATGGGACACATCCTGTATGCTGCCTGCATGCAATTTTTTCATGCTAATGTGAAATTTTTTTTAAGATGTGCTTCTATCATAGCCATGCACATTAACTTCAGCGTGAGACTTGTAGTTAACTCTTTCACTGTGGGCAGAATGGTTACTTGTAATTATCCCAATGTTGTCATTAGATTGAAACAGTTGGTGACATGTAATATGTGCTGGTCATCCAGCTGAAGAAAGTCTGAACAAGTGAAAATGACTTTTGGTGTCAACCAATTCCCAAAGAGACACTTATCCACATTACAGAGTAACCATATTCTTTGGCACAGCAAATGACTGCTACTAGAGAAATGGAATAACAAAAGTGGTACTGTTCAGAATTAAAATAAATAGCCAATATTTCATGCTAGGAAACTTAGATCTAAAAGTATTATAGATGAGATGTTTCAGAAGTATCTTAACAGTTACATATTTAACAGCTTTACTTTAAATAAAAAGTTTCAAAAGTATCAAATGCCTCATGCATTGTTCTTTGAGAATTTATCATTGTCAATATCTTTGGCATGTCTAAGCAAGAGACTCATGAAGTGTTCCAATTGCTCAGAAAGGAGGAGTCTGAAAACTGGAAAATAGAAATCTGTGAATGGGTATACTAACGTTTTCTGCTGGAAACATGCTTCCTTAACAGGGATATCATAAATTCAGTGGTTTTTTTTAAAATATAGCTTTCCTTTGATAAGAATAATGATGAGGACCAAAAATAGATAATGTATTTTGTTTCAAATGCATCCTGTGCTAATAGCATGTCACAAATGATATGTATTCTCCCTATACTAATTCATCGCTAATTATGTTATCAGTGTAGAAACCTTTCTAGATTTTTTTGTTTTATATCTTTTCTCCCTGGAATCATTTCAGACATGAATCTCCAGAACAACCTAAGTATGTCAAAGGGTTTGAATAACACTGTTTTTCCCCAGAAGCCTCTTTTGAAAGAGGCTTGCAGTCTAGACATAGCCTTCGTGTAATAGTGAATTGAACGGAGGAGGGAAAGTACAGAAATGGGTGGCTCAAGGGATTGATAATCTGACACAGAGCCTTATTTTGCTAAATTTTTCATCTGGTGGCTGCATAGTGACCTGTGGGAACTGAAGTTTCAGAGGGGTAGCCAAGTTTGTAACTGAAAAAACTTAAACAACAAATAGTTCTGTAGCATCTTAGAGACTAACAAAGCATGTAGATGTTATCATGAGCTTTCGTGAGCACAACCCACTTCTTCAGATGAATTGGGTTAAGGGGTCCAGATTGCAAAATAAATTGCAGGGGAAGAGAGTGGATGGGGAGAGAAACAGAAGGAAAAACTAGGAAGAAATTGTCAATTAGGCTATGTCTACATTGCTTCCCTCTTGCAGAAGAGGAAATGCAAATGGAGTGCTCATTAGCATGTGTCATGGTCTCATTTGCATATCCTGATCCTTTTTGCGGAGAGCTTTGTGCAAAAAAATTGCAGCATAGATGGGGCCATTTTGCACAAAAAATTCCTTTTGCACAAGAACCCTGTATACCTCTTTTTTTTTTTTTTTTTTTTTGTATAATGCTTTCGAAAAAGCCTCTTCTAAAAAGAGCATCTAGACTACAACCAGTATTTTTGAAAAAGCAAGCTGCTTTTTCAAAAGAGAGCACCCAGGCAGTCTGGATGCTCTCTTTTCAAAAAGCACAGATTGTATTACATACCGCCTTTTTTCGAAAGAGCACTTCTGAAAAAAGGCATTATTCTTCGTAAAACAAGGTTTTCCATGGTCAAAAATACTGCCGCATTTTTTCAATTTACTTTCAAAAGAACATGACAGCAGTGTAGACACAGCCTTAGAGTGCCCATGCTAAATGAAGCTGTTAGAGTGGGTTCTAAGTACTCTTAAATATCCAGTGGTTGGCTTTTTATGTCGTATAGCATTTGGAATGTAGCAGGTAATCCAGTTAAAGTCTTTTTTTAAGCCTCTATAGCAGGTATCAAACTTATAAATGAAATAAACTTCTGAACTGAGTAGATGGCTGCAGGTCAGATGCCCATCATGCACAACACATCAATACAACGGAACCCATTCAGACAGACTTGATGAAGCAGGAAAGAATTGAGTAAAGAAGGAAAATATATTGCTTCCTCATTCCCATATGTTATCCAAAAAATAGCCATGGTTGGGAGCAATATGTGAGAAGCTTGCTTACACCTTTGCTGTAGCAGTTCTGTGAATGAGTACTTTGCTTTTCGGGTCTGACAATCCAACATCTTTCATAAGTACAATATTCACTAACATTCAATGAGATTTGAGTGTTTCATTGGAGGACTGATTGATGGAGAATACATATGACTCTGAATTACACTGGAAAACATGGCAGCAAAAACACACTTGAAAACTGTAGTGACTGAAAAAGGGAAAAGCCTTCTACCACTTGTCCCACTAAGAAAATAAGGCATGTTACTGACACCTCTCCTGTCAGGCCAGACAGGCATTTAAGCAAATAGTCAAAATGCCTGCGCTAATAACACACATTCTTCCTTTATTTGCTTGACTTCTCTCCAAGAGTTCTCTTTGCTTTTCCGCTAGTCCATTTTGTCAGGGACCATTATAGACTGCTACAGTTGTGGCTCCCCCCACGTCCCTATATTCCTTGGAAATTGTGATTTCCTTGAAAAACACCTCACGTACATGCACATCAAGGGAGTGCTGTATGTGTGTGCACAGAAACCCTTTTTGGCATATTCCAGGACCTTATACAATCCCTACAGCTGTGTAAAACAGAAAATTATCCTGGAGATTGATATGCAAATGCAGAAGAGAGATACTTTGTTTTTGGTATTCAACCAGGCTAGTCCCCCTTCTACAACTGTTTCTTATAGCAGTGCTGGATCAATAGCCAACATTCTTGGGAGCAAAGTAGCAATGTGGTATGGCCATTTGCATACCAATACCCATAATGCTTTCTTATCTTCCACAGCTGCATGATGGCTGTATGGCTTTGAATGAATGATTATGTATGACATTCAAAGTTACTTCAAATTAGGTAGTGTATTTTTCCCTTCTTACTAGAGCACAAACTGCATAGAGAAGCTGAAACTAACTTTTCTGAGGTTGTAAGCAAAACGATGGGTTAGTGGCAGAATGCCTCCATGAGATCATGTTACCTAAAGTGCACCCATGTGATGAATATGGTAAAGTTTAGAATCTCATGGCATACTATTAATACATGCCTTTCTTACAGAATCTGTTTTTGGAAAGAAATTGTAGACTGCTGAGGCACTTCTGTTCTTTATTCTATTTGGCTTCTCCAAGGACTAATATTTGAATTCACACAGGGGTCAGTTCTGTGTTTCTCCTAATTTCCATGCATAAATGATACATATTACATGCTCTAACTTACACTGTGCAGGCCCTGAGAGGTTTCAAAATTGCTTCTAAACCAGGGTTGGGCACTAATTTTGATTGGGGAGGGGTCACTCCAAGAATTTGGTGTCTAGGGATGCATTTTTCTATGATATAAATGGAGGGGGCCTGTGATGTGGGAAACAGGTTCAATGCAGAAAGGAGCACTGGGTAGGGGGTTGGGATGCAGGAGAGGGTTGGGGTCTGGAAGGGTGTTTTGGATTCTGACTTGGAGGAGGGGGTGCAGAGTCTGGGAGGAAGCTGTGACCAGGGCAGGGGTACAAAGGGTTTGGATTGTGACTTGGTTCGAGGAGGTGGTGTGCCAGGTGCAGGCTCTGGTTGGGAGGTGCTTACCCTAGGTGGCTCCTAGCCAGTAGCCCTGTAGGGTTCTCAGGCTGGCCCCTGACTTCTGGGACCAGCGAGTGCATTTCTCCATGGCGTGCACTATAGGGAAAAAGGGGTTCCACAAGCTCCCTGTGCCCACAAGCATGGCCCAGGCAATTCTTATCTGGTTTCTCGCCAGTGGGAGTTGCAACACTTGTGCACGGGGTGGGGACAGCATGCAGAGACCTCTCTCCTTCCAAGGCACGCACTCAGAGACACACACCCAGGCCCGAGCAACTGGCCACTTTGACCGGCGTGTGGGGCTGCAGCAAGTAGGGAGCCTGCCTGAGGATCCTGCTGGGCCATGGGAAATCAGAACCAGAGTATTGTGTCCGGCCTTCAGGCCATATTTTGCCCCACCCCTGTTTTAAACTATAAAATTCACATTCACTTTTCAGTCTGAAGACATTTCAAGAGAGTAAAAAAATGGAGCTAACCATCCTGTATACTTATGGGCTACGTCTAGACTGGCATGATTTTCCAGAAATGCTTTTAACGGAAAAGTTTTCCGTTAAAAGCATTTTCAGAACAGAGCGTCTAGATTGGCACGGACGCTTTTCCGCAAAAGCACCTTTTGCGGAAAAGTGTCCGTGCCAATATAAACGTGCTTTTCCGCAAAAAAGCCCCGATCGCCATTTTCGCAATCGGGGCTTTTTTGCGGAAAACAAATCTGGGCTGTCTACAATGGCCCTTTTGCACAAAAGTTTTGCGCAAAAGGACTTTTGCCCGAATGGGAGCAGCATAGTATTTCTGCAAGAAGCACTGATTTCTTAAAGTAGGAAGTCAGTGCTTTTGCGGAAATTCAAGCGGCCAGTGTAGACAACTGGCAAGTTTTTCTGGAAAAGCGGCTGATTTTCTGGAAAAACTGGCCAGTCTAGACACAGCCGTGTTGTAGCTCTAACGTACTCAGCTCAGGTTAAAGCTGATAACCTACTGCTTATCTGGTGTGTATTCGCAGCTAACAGAATGCAAAAACCAATAACTGTTGAACTCCACACTCTCAGAAATTACAGATATTCAAACAGTCTCACGTGGTCAGTATATTAAATCATAAAAGGTTATGATATCTAATTTCCTTTCCTCCAATAACTATTCTAGCTTAACTATCATTTCCTTCTACCCAAATCCATCTCATTTTTAAGAATTTGTGTGTAAAGAGCTTTAAAAACCCTGTGAATACTCATGGGCTAGTGGTATCTGTAGAAAAATTCCAGTTGTACAGCTCAGGTTTAGATGTTTATCCTCAAGAAATACATGCGGTTACACCTCAATTCACAGCTGTTAGCATATACTGTGGTTGTCTTTAATATCATTTGGCTATAAAAGAGTTTGACAATTAGTCCCTAGCAACACACACAAATCTAGGTTCATTGCTACTAGTTTTTTAATGGAAATTGAGAGTCAAGGTGGATGATGGATCATCTTTTTATTGGACCAACTTCTATTGGTCAAAGAGACATCTAACCTTTTGAGCTTACATAGAGTTCTTTCAGATGTGGGCAAGGTAAATAGTGTCACAGCTAACTACTAGGTAGAATTGTTAGACAATCCTAATTTATACATTAGTAAATCAGTCAACCATCAGAATTCTTTTAAGGCTGATCTTACTACTATTGAAATTCCCATCCATTTCAATGAAACAAAGTCAAGTCCTTTCAGTAGTACTATCTGAACTGAGCATTAAGGGACAGTCCAGAATACAC